TTAACGAGTATAATTTTTTGTAAAAAATTCAGATCTTCTGATTGCTTCTGTCTCAAGATACAGCTATAATAAAGGCATGTTTTTCAAGCTGTTCATATACAACGGCTACCTCCGATGCTTTTATTTCAAAATAGACATAATCAAAAAATCTGAAACTTTGACAATAAGATATTCGACCGAACTCTTTTCAGAGTATTCATAGCTCATTGAAATCTACATGATACACACATGGGCCCCACTTCATAGCGATTTGACACTTGAAAACATTCTGTTGTGAGACAAATTTTCTGACCCTTATTGTATCGAATAAACTTGCATATTTCTATTTAAAATTAACGTTCTATTCATGTAAAGAAAAAAACAAAAACAATGCATGTCTACATTTTTTGTTTTCGTACCGATGTTTTCCATTTGAATTCATATCAATATAGCCTACCTGTTCAATGCCTTTATATGAATTAAGATTTGTTAGAAATGTATCATATTCATCTTGTTCAACAAGCATAAAAAAATGTGGTGTTTGAGCTCGTGCTTTGCCCTATTAAATTTCCAATCATCAAGAATTAAGTCATATAAGAAACAAAAATTTTTACTTTTGATTGCATATACGATCGATAATTCGTTGGTACATTAAACCGAATAACTAAATTACAATCTGGTATATCTTTTAATTCTTCAAGAGAACTCAATGCAACAATAATATTATTTTCACCAAGCCGAAATTTACGCATTACTTCTTCCTAAAATCAACGTAACAACATGTAAAGTTTTACTCATGAAAACGTTTTCTTTTTCTTTTTATACTTGTTTTCTACTATCCATCGGTTGAATATGTTGACTAGTCGATAAATCATCTGTTGATTGCATTGTTGAATATCCAATTAAAAAATTTGGTCGAATAAATGAATATTCATCAGCAAAACGTTTTGCAACATCTTTTAGTAGAGCATTAAGTACAGCTGTTTCTTGTTTACGATCAACAAATATAATTGCTGACCAACGACGATTATGTACATTGGTTGCATCCGATTGAAAACGTTTTAATATATCAAATAATGAACGTAATTTTGATGTTGTATATTGTTCAAATAATGTATGAGAATCAAGTGTTTCAATGGCAGTTTTAATACGTGACCTCCAAAGACGAAGTAATGTACAAGTCCAATCAAGAAATAATGAATATGCACGTGGTGATGAGAGAGAAAGATGAGATGAAGAAAAACTTGAGGATAAAGAAGAAGACGAAACTGTATTTTGTTCAATAGCAATACTTGAAAGACGTTCTAATTGAGTTATAATTGGTAATGATGAACGAAGTAATGCCCAAATGCCTAGTTTATCAACTAAGCGTAAACATTCCGTAAGTACTTGACGAGGAATAATTAATGGTGATGAATTTTCATCACAATTAGTTGATAATGAGATTTTTGACGGTTCTAATTTGTTTAAATAATCAAGAGCTTCATGAAGTTCCTTTAATGAAAAGAAAAAATAAATATTTTATGAAATTTAATATTGAAAACAATAAATATCCAGAAATCGAACAGTTACTTATTGAAAAACATTTCGGTAAAAAAAATCATTCTTCATATAAATCATAATCTCGTATTCATCTCAAACATAAATTGATCATTAGTTAAACCATACATTGATTACTTACTAACAAGAGAATCTCTTCAGCTGCTTCGTTTCGATTTTAATAGTTTTTTTGCTTATAGATATACTGTACAGTATTGTAATAAGAGTCTAAAAAAGAATTTTTGGTTCCTAGCGAGATTTGACTAAGATATTGAATTTTGATCTGAAACTTTATGTATATAGAGAGCTCAACTAGACTAGTTTTCATTGAAAAAAAATTGTCAAGTTTTGAATAAAGTCTCTTCGAGAAACAAGACTTTCAAGATATAGACCTTTTTCCATGAATAATGTATGTAACGTACAATTTTTTAAAAGTTTCATATCTCGAAGAGTTTTTGTTCAAAACTTTTGATTTTTTGTTGCATTTAGTCTAGTTGATTTCTCACTCAATGTTTCAGATTGAAATTCGATATCTTAGTTAAATCGTAACAGAAACCAAAATCGGTTCAGGATTTTTATTAGAACATTGTGTAGAATCAATAGGAAAAAAAGCATCACTGAAATCAGAAGGGGGTAGTTGAAGAGGTTCCCTGGTAAGTATGATGAATATTTCTTAAACTTATTATTATTATTCAATCTTGCTATGATTTCTCTTGAATTCTATGTCAAAACTTATAAAATACATTTGAATAGCTACTGTCTAAACTTTAAAAATCATTAACGTCTTCAAAGAAAAAAAAAAGTCTAACCCAGAGAGAGAACTTTTTGAATTTTGACAATTGACAAAGTTATCTTATATTACAATCAACTCTGTTAGACATCTAATGTCTTAATCAATAATAAGATTAAATATTGATTTATTCGACAATTTCACATAAAATTAATTCTAAATAAAATATTTCAAAGTTATTCATACTCGTATTATTTCAAGTGCAATTTCAGGTGGTTGTTTATTATTATTTTTACACACAATTATTGTTTCTTTTGGTACTTTCGATAATCGATTCGACTGACGACATATAAGATCCGTAGCAGTAAATACAGTTGAGCTATAAAATTAAAAAACAATAAATATCTAATTTAAACCATTCATATACAAGAGAAAAGAAAAAGAAAATTCATATACCAAAACAAATCATGTAAATTTTCAATACGTTCTTCAAGTTGTATTGGTGTACAATGTGTTTTAAGTAAAGCTGTAGTTATTGAAAAAAGACGAGGTAATTGTATATTATTATTATCATTTTTATCCCAACGATTTTTATATTGTTTAAGAATAGATCCATATGCATGATCACGAATAGCTTGATGACATTCATCGAGAATTAATAGTTTAATATGTGAAAATTCTATCTTATCAAAAATATTAAATTGAATCAAAATAAGATTTTTTGTTTTTTATTTACCTATATAATTTCGATTAAGTAATTCGTGAAAAACGGTTGGATGCATAACTAATACAGAACGTATTTGCATTTCTTGTAGCCATTGTTCTTTTTTCCATAGAAGTACTCCATGTTCAATACCAAATGATCCAACATCCACTGGTAAATGACGATGAATCATTTCAGCTAATGCAACAGGATCTTGTTCTATAAGAGTAAAAGAAAGAAATGAAATTATAAAACATATATTATTTTCTTTTTATGTTTTGTAATCATACCCATTGAAAGACAAATAATACGCTGACCACCTTCGTCAAAATTTCGTTGAAGGCCATATGAATATTCTCGTATAACATTTATAATAAGAAAATTTTTTGATGTATTACTATGTAGACAGACAACTGTATTTTCACGTTTGACTTTATCAAGAACTTCGATCTAAAGAAAAAAACGCATATACATTAACAAATAATCGATAAGATTTTTTTTTAATAGTGTTTAGATAATTAAAAAGATAACAAGAAACTCTGTGTACTATGTAAAGCAATTATTCGATATACATGTTCACATTTTAATTGTGTAAAGCATAGACTCTAAGTTTCTATTAATATAAAACGCACATGGAATTGTTTCAATTTAAAAATGTTTGTCAATTTTCATTTAATATTTAAAATATTTTTTTTTCAATTCTAACAAGTGTTATTTCAATTAAAACCAATAAGATATCGATTTGATTCATGACAAAGTGACTCTTCAAGAACATAAATATGCAAAACTTAATTGAGTTTCACTAAAGCTTCAAATTCGATTGAAATTTAATAATACTAATAGAGATTTATTTGGATATTTTTACAAATATAAAAGAATCTCTCAAAGTGTCAAATCGCTTTTCGACCGATACGATGTTTATTTGATGAGCGTTATTGAGTCATAGAAAAAGTCTAGGATAGTTTGATTTTTCGAATCTTCGTTCTTGAGATATCGAAATTTTACTGGATTTTTCGTTCCCCCTAAAGTTTCGTGGAAAATCGACTTTTAGCTTCAAACTTTGCACGGACAAAGTTCTCAAAGATATTAATTAATTATGCAAGTTTTAAGTTTCTAGAGATGCAAATATATGAACAAAATTTATTTTGAAACATGAGAGAATTTTGAATATTCCATATCTCTCAGGATAGGAGATACTAGAAAAACTAAAGCTGACAAAATCAACTAATCACATTGAGGACTTTGTTTGCGTAAAGCTTGAAGTCAATTTTTCACGTGATCTGAGGAGAATGAAAAATCCAGTAAAATTTCGATATCTCAAGAACGAAACCCTAGAAAACTAACCCATTTTAAGCTTTTCTCGTACTCAGTAATACTTATTTAATAAACATCGTCTCGGTCGAAGAGTAATTTGACACCTGGACAGATTCTATCGTCAATAATGAATCATAAGTAACAGAACCAATTCATATCGATAGAAAATTGAAATCACTGATTGTTTTTCTTTTTCATTTAATTTTTCAATGGCATTGACAAGCAATATAAAATTTGAAATTTTATTTATTCTTCCTGAATAATTAAATATATACTTTCGCATATAATGATTATTATTAGTGAAAAAGCATTTCATCATTAATTAGTAATTGTTTCTTAATCGTCTTTCATCTGACAAATGTCATATCATTTAATATAAAAAGAACTTTCTTGAATGAATACAAAATAATACTCACTTCATATTTCGGTAAAGTAAAACTTTCCGATGGTACATCATCTATCCATAGTGTATTTCGTATAGTTCGTCGTCCACTTGCAGCTAATAAATAAGTTTTGACTTTGTCTATATTATTCGTTGATGTCATTATATAAAACTCTTAAATAATGTATGTATATTCAAACTAGAAGCAAGATAGAAAAAAAAAACAACCATAATAATTTCTTGATTTTTCCCAATTAAATTTGTCTTGTTTTTCGTTTAAGCAGAAACAAAAAAATTTTAAATGTTCATATAAGAATTATACACAGAAAAGAAAAATCGAAAATATTTATGTTTTAAAAGTTTAATGGTGATTGACCATTTGTAGTTGATGATGATGGAATGACAAATATTTCATTTGAATTTTCATTTTGATGAACTTCAACTGTTGTTACTGGGGGTTGAGGTGGTGGTGGTGGTGGTGGAGGAAGATGATGTTGATAATGTGATGAACTAGTTGTTGTTGTTGATTCATAATTAAGAATTTCTCGATGTGCTTCACGAATATATTGACTTTGTTTATAATAAATTTTTGCTGTACCTTTCAAAACAATAAATGCAATACCACCCTTAAAAAAGAAAATCTTTTAAATTAAACCAAAAGATAATCTTTTTTTTTTACTAAAAGTGTTCGTTGAAAATTTGAATGAACACGTTGAAACATAAATTTTCCAAATATTGTAGCGATTGTTGGTAATATAAGACCACCACAAATAAGTCTTGTTAATGATGCTGGATTAGAATTTCCATTACGTTCAGTTGGAACACGAGGTAAATATGATGTATGCTCTAGATAGAAATTGATGTTTATTATTGAAAGAAAAAGAAAAAAGAAAACTCATGTTTAATTTACCATTTGGAAATAAATAATTCATTAAAGGCAATTTTGATGAATGTTTACGCCAAAATTTTAACACAGCTTCTTCCCAACGTATCATTCGTCCAAGAATTAAAACAATAGGTATTGTTGGTAAACCAATAAGAAGAAAAAGTGGATCAGCTTTTTCCATTACACTTAAACCTTCTTTATGTCCAAGAATCTAAAATATTATTTTACTTTTTATTTATTTATAGAAAGAAATCTTTTCTACCTGCATGATTGTAACTGCACCATATGTAACTGCTGTCCAATAGACACTTCCAACAAGAATACCACCGGCAAGAAATGGACAAAAACGATTTAAAATACGTTCAATTAAATCAAGCGTATAAACTAATGGACCTAAAAGAATAAGTTTCATATTATTATATAGATAAACATATTTTTCTTTTGCCTTGTTTTGGATATACAATAATGTATTCTGTATTGCACTGTGGACATGCAACTTTAACTGAATAGAATAAAAGAAAAGGAAAATTTTCAAAAACAAAACAAAAGAATAATGAACCTCCAGTTGATCCTTGTTGTTTTTCGTCAACCCATCTTTGAAGACATTCTTGATGAACCCATTTAGCTGTACCACGACAACGGCATGGTGATACCCAACAAGCTGAAAAATCATCTTCATCTGTTGCAAAGCAAACCCAACAATGTTTCCCAGGAACACTACTACGTGAATGAATTGTATTTGTTAATGAAGTTCGATTACCATTTGATGGTGGTGGTGGTGGTGGTGATAGTGGTGTTTGAGAAGAAATAGAACTATTTGTTCTTGGTACTATTGGAATATTTGTTGATTGATTAGAAAGAAATGAGGATGAATTAAAATTATCCATACAGTACTTCTAAAACAAAAATTAGCTTTTTTTTAACAGAACTCAATATTAAGAAATAAAAGAAACGAGAAAATAAACACATGAGACATTCACTTTATTTTCGTTGGTGGGATTGATGATCCAGCTGAAGCTATTTGACTAGTATTACTATTCATATACTAATGCCATCTAGTATTGCATGTCAGGAATCAACAAAAAATATTTCTTTTCGTAGAAAAAAATAGACCCTCAAGAAAGGAATAAAATAGGTTACGTGACTCTGTTTTATCTTGACATTTTTTTAAATGTTAGATATTATTACAAGATGTTACACAAAAAAATATAAATATTCAATAAATCACAAGCAGAAAATAAATATTCATTTATAGGTTTTTTTTTATCATATATTACTAAGTTAACAACATGTTTATTGTTGATTTAAATAAACAATCAAATTTAATTCAAGTAAAAACTAACAATGAAAATAATTCCACCATTGTTGCTGAAGGAAATTTTGCATTCGATGAACCTGATCTTACTGTACTTATCATCTTCAAATATGTGATAATAACACCAGATAATCATCAACAACTTGATCAATTTCTTTCAATTGTAATGTCTTATGTCGGTAAATTATTTAAATCACTTATTTGCATACGTTTACCAAATATGTTTGATAATCGAATTGATATTCATAAATTTAAATTTAATAATAATATTTTACATTTTATGTCTGTTAAAATCGAAGATTTGAAATATTATTCTGATAATGATATACAAAATAACCAAGAACAATATGAATTAATAACTGATAAACAATTAATATTAAATTATGCTGAACAATTACTTAAAATAATGAATAGAGAAGGATTTTGGTGTACAAAATGGAATTTAATAGAAATGGAAAATCGAATAAATTCAGCAACATATAACGCAATGGTTTTAGATAAAATAAATAATTATCCTTGTGGTTTTGGACGATTATTTCTATTAACAATAGATGATCAAATATTTGGATATTTATCAGATATTCTTGTAGATAGTTCTCATCAATCAAAAGGTCTTGGTAGACTTATAATCAACCATCTTATTGGAATGTCTGTTAAACAAAATGATAATCATCAGAATGTTCATTGTACACTTTGTTTACAATGTGCTTATAAAGGTAGTGGAGCTGTATCTGCACCAAAACTATATAAAAGATCAGGTTTCGAATATATCGCTGATATTGGCAATCGTATTGCTATTTTTGCTGATGAAAAATATCTGATTGAAACAGTCAAATAAATGCTAATTTCTTTTTTTTTTTATTAATACTAATGTATAATTAATTTTTTGATCATGAAACATACATATGATGTATACATATATATACATCATCAAAATATCTTGATGACTGATTATGTATAGCTTTTTAATGCTGCTGTTATTATTGAGATAAATAAACGCAAATGTCCTTGCTGTATGTAAACAACTGTTTTATAATCAATCATTGAAGCAAAAAATTATTATTTGTGTATTGGGAATTTGAGATTTGTTTTGCTTTCAAGAAGACAATATTATTAATTGTGAATATATTTGTAGAAAACTTCATCATGATACTACATAAATTTTGTTTATTTGCAAATCATGCGTAAGAAGGAGTTTTTAATTACTGTTCATGCTTTTGTAGAATATTTATATTTTAATTTCGTATGTTTTTTTTTTCAAATACGTACTAATTATAATGAATGGATCCATTCTGCTTTCATATCTTTATTCTTATTGAAAAACAAAATACATATAAAACCTAATAGAATTTAAAATATGTTAGTTGAAAAATTATTAGAATTAAGAGTATGTGATAAAAAGTCATCATCACAATTATTGAACATATCAGATCAAAATATTTTATTGTCATCGTTTATTATTTCAGAAAACAATAGGTTTTTCTTGTTAATAATAACAGAAGTAGTTTTATATGTAAGCCTCATCTTCCTGTCAGAAATTTATACTTATCACACAACAATCGATCTGGCTGAAAGTTTTACGGAAATGTGTATCTGCATCTTAATAGTTCACAGTAAAAGTTTCGACCCAAAATATTAAACAGTTCATAAGCCATAATAACATCAAAACTCAAACAGTGGTTGTTAGCGTGACAAGGATTTCTTCTTCCCATCTAATGATGCAGATTTTGGATTGGTTTTAAAATGTAACATAGACCTGTCGCTACAAATCAAGAAAGCATAATATTTTGAAATATTGTTTTCGTACTTCTAATGAAAATTTTCTTTATAAAAGTTCGAAAAATCAGATTGTCTCTATAGAAAACCATACATTTTTTTTTTGAAAAAAGTAAATCGAAAATGAAAACTCCGGTTGTATTTAGTTGTAGAGAGTAATTTTCTTTTCAATTGAAAATATTTCCGAGCTGCCGAGCATGTACAATGACCAAGAAATGTTTGACATACGAACAGGAAAAAATTAAAAAAATCTACTTCGAGAAAAATGCGAAACAAAGTTTGATTTAGAAACTCAAGATTCTTTCTTAATAAAATACTACAGAAAACAAATCGTAACAAAGCATTATAAATTCAGTAAATCGTATTAGACATGAAGGGTTATTCAACCGAGTCAAAATCTCAAAATCGAATTTTTCGATAAAAATCACGATATCAGATAGGAGATGTGCCATAAAAAACTATATAATCTTATTCTCTGATTTGAAAGTGAAAAATAAATATTCTGTCAAAATATGGTCAATAAAGTTTCTAATTTTGAAGCTTTTCTAATCTGAAGTACAAAAGTATAACATCAGTCTATGACTATTCGCCGTATTCAATTTAGAGTATTATTTATATTTAAAAAAATGTGAACTGACACTAATATGATATAGAGAAGAACAAAAGCTAAAGTTACTTTTTAAATAGAAAAAAATTCAAATAATCCATTTCTACATTTGATGTTACCCATTTTCATAATTTGCTTTAATATATTAACCCTAACATAAAGAATATCTCATAATAACTGAGGATATATTGTCAACGATGTTATTCATGCTTTTTCTTGGTGTTGAAGACTGAAATTTTCTCCACAGATATATTTAATCAAGATCTTTAGTTTAGCAAAGTTTCAGCTTTCTGACTCAAACTACTGCTGAAATACCTTAACAAGATTAATAACCATGAATTTTCTTACTTCATCTTTGTGACATCTTTATTGTTTGACCTGTGATTTTATAAACATTTAATAGAAAGAAACTTGACAAGAGAAATCTTTTCAAAAATGTAAATTTAAAAAATCTCAATCTGTATGAACATGCTCTCTATTGTTTTCTATGACCAATTGTACATGAACAGGTACTCCATCTATTATTTTTACATATTTGTCGTTCGAAAATTTCTTCGATTCTTATGAATTTTCTTTTTCTAATTCTAATGATGTATCAAACACTTTTCCATTCAATGCACGTCACATATTTTCAGTTCTTCATGTATTAACAAATTAAGTATCACTATCTGCTGATTCTATGCCTGGCTTAAATAATTGTGTTACGAACCGTGCGACCAATAGTTCATTTTGTTTTCCGACGATTTAAATTCAATACAAATCATTTATGGTCTTGTCTTTTTTCTTAACTGATCGACACTTAAGGTAAAGTTTCTCATTAGGTTTTAAAGACTTTTGACACAAACGCATTCCTATACAGTTAAAATAATCCTTAGTTGCTCTGTTGTAATAGACTATGTAATATAATATTAGAAAAATTTAGCTATGACAACTCATGTATGTTAATCTTGTCCGTTTATTTCAGCCGTAGTTCCACTTGGACAGCTGAAACTTAAGAAAATGAAAGATCTTAGTTAGATACATATTTGATAAAAATTTTAGCCTACTATATCAACAAAATGTATGAAAAATATCGTTGATTTCAACTGCTATAAAATGTAGACTCTAGAGTCTTTGAGATAGAGTTAAATAAAACTAATCATTTCTTTCTAAAATTACCTAAATGATTGAAGTTAATAAAAAAAACAAACAAAATAAAAATAAATCATGACATCTATTTTAATTACGTTTAGACCAGTGTTCATATAAAATAGTATGCAGAAATGCTAGCGAAAGAGCTGTTTTGCAAAAAGAAACGTCTTTTGATGTACTCTGTAGATTTTTACAATGTCAAATATATTTTGAGATTGAATTAAATTATGTTTTCTTTTGATTAAAACTTGTATTTAAATTTAAATAGATCATTATATAAATATTTAATATTTTCACAAGTTAAACTTTGTTCTATAAGTCAAATTAGAAAGAAACAAAGAAAGAGCCCTAGACAACAACGAAGAATTCCTAACATGAAGTTCTAGTTTAGTGTTTCTTTTATTTAGTTAATATTTCTAAAGAAAAGAATAGAACGAAAGACATATACACGGCATAAGGAACAATAATATATCATCAAAAAAAGAATGCTGCAATAATAATAGTTAATAGGAATCATATTTTTTAAATTTTGTTCATATACGATAAAAAAAATCATCGACAAATAATTGATAAATATCAATCTTTAATAAGTGGACGAGTTGCTGTTGTCGTTGTCGTTGTTGTTGTAACATTACCACCAGTTGCAGTATTTGGAACAACTGAACTTGGATTCGATTGTTTAAAATTAGCTGCTGCTTGATATTGCAATTGATATGCCATTGAATGAATTTTAAAACCGTAAAGTCGAGCAACAAATTGATTTGTTGGTCGTTTTGGTCGATATTCTGGATGAACCATGAAAAGCATATGAGGAAAACCTGTACTAAAATATGCTCCATCAGTATGATGATGTCGAGAACTTTTTGGCGTATAAACATCCATACATTTTGGACAATAAAGTTTAACCATAGCTTCTCCAGGAACTTCTGATAAGCCAATCTATTATGAAATCAAAGGTTTATATTACAGAACAAAAAGAAACTAAATAATACAATCTTTCGTACCGGTAACATTGGTTGATTGTCACAATATATACGAGGGCATAGGCCAAAATCCCCATTTTGGAATTTTTCAAGCATTTGTGCTATACCATTATTCGTAAGAATATATCGAGCATGTATAAGACCTATTACAAAATGTGATTGATTTTATTTTTTACAAAAAATTAAAAAAAATTAATTACCATAAAGCATTTCAGCAGCTTGTTCAATTAAATCTGATTGATTTGGATTTTCTTGATTATCAAGTTCATCATCAGGCTCAAGATCAAGAATCATATCGAGTGCTTGCCGATAATGTGGTACTTGTTCATTAAGACCCGTCTATAAGAAACAATAGTTTGAAATAAATAGAAATGACATTTTAGATTATAAATAACATACTAAATTAAATTTATCCTGTATATAATCTTCGTCAACTTCGCAAAAAAATTCATTACCACGAAGACCACAGAACCATGAAATCCATGAAACTGACATGAGAAAAAACAAAATAAGAATTAGATTGGATGACAAAAAAAATACGCAAAGAAAAATAATTTCGCATACCTTCTTCTGACGAACTCATCGAGCTTGATTTTGATTTAGCACCTCCGGCAGCAGCTGAAGACGATGAGTGATCGTCTTTTACAATAGAATTAGCTCCAGTCGAGGCCAGAACAACAATACAGATAGAAAAACCTGAAGAAAAATTAATTTCCTCTTCTAATATAATTATCAATGCATGAAATTAAAAAAACAATATCTTCTTTTTATTATGTAATATATAAACACAAGGTATTTAAAAGAAAGAAAAAAAAAGATTACAACTTCATGTTTTTATATCAACAATCGATAGCATTTTTTTTGCTACTATGTTGCTTAAAAATAAACATGATTTAAATACACTCTTGAATGTTAGTAGGTGAACAAATCTAAAAATCAAATATACCATAAATCTTAAAAAGAAGCATCTTATATGAATGAGGAAGAAATATCATTTTTTTTATGCACATATATATATAATTCTATTAAATAAAGCCGTACATCAATATCATCTGACAAACACAAAAGGCAAAGGTTTAAAAAGCATGAACAACACAACAAAGACAAAATGATTGTAAAAAGGTGCATTGATTATCGTTTAAGAACATACAAAAAAGAGAAGACGAGCCAAGTACATATGTTCAATTATCAATTTAAACATGAACCGGTGGTTTTAATTGTTTATCAACAACATAAAATTTTCCTTTATCACTAAAAAGTCCCCATAAAACAGCAGTTATTTCGCATACAACAACAAATGGAATCGTTGCTAATGTACCAATAATTCGTAAGATAAATTGCACATAACCTAAACGTACTAATGAAAATGATCGAACGGCACCAATTATATATAAATAAATATTAACAGCACCAACATAATTTATAAGAAAATTTAATGTCCAATGTAATGGTATTGGACAAAGTGGTGCAAGTATAACATTTAATGCTGTTATTGGTAATGTAACCCATGAATAAAGTGCAATGCCTAAACCAAGTCGTACACGAAGTGGTAATCGCATATCATGAACAACAAGTAAAATTCCTTGTAACCATCGTTTACGTTGTTTAACAAAATCTGCTAATGTAAATGGACTTTTTTCCCACATTTCACCTATATATGAAAAAAATGAAACATTATTATGTTTTTTCTTTACTTTATCATCTTTTATAAATCTAATACAAACCTTCAATCCATCCAAATTTTTTATTTTTTGACATAGCTAACATAGCAAAATATGTATCTTCAGCTATTGAACCAGCTCGTCCATTATCAAATTTAACATCAAATTCACAACCAGCGCGACATACAACAAATGAACCTTTAAATAAAAATGGTGGCCGATGAAGTTTTTTTAAACAAAATCTTAAACATCCTAAATCAACACCAACACGCATACTATCAGCTAATGTTGTTATATAATTAACAATTGTTTCATTAGCATATGTTATAAGACCTTGTCCAATATCATATTCATTTAAATTAACAAAATTTAATATACCACGTACTGAATTTTCTGTTAATAATGTTTCTTCATCTAAATGTACAATATAATCATCGGATGATAGTTGATTAACATCAGGTTCTAATGCGTATTGTAATGCACGTGATTTATATAAAGCACCTGATTTTGTTCGATATGTACTTGGTACAACAACTTGTCGTACCATATTAGCGGTTAAAATATGTAGATTTATTTGTTTATCAGTTACAATTTCTATTTGAAAATTATCTAAACCAACTTTTGCACAAGTATCTAAATTTCGTTTAACATTTGTATTAATTAAATCAGGATAATCACCACGTGTTACAACACGTATACGAATTTTAGGACCTAATAATGGTGAATTTAATAATTCAGGTCGATCAGGAAATATATTATAGAAAATTAAACCACATGTATGACATATAACTAATGGTAATGGTAACAAAGATAATAAACGTATAAAATAAATAATTATTGTTAATAATAAACCATAATATTCAATAGGATCTGAGATAAATACAATTAAATTTGATGACAATTTATTTAATGGAAATATATTTATACCACCGGCTATTACTTCAAATACGAAAATAAAGATAATAAAACAACAAACATGAATTATATGACGACGATTTGATGATGTAAATATCATTATTATTTCATTCAATAGAGATCACACTGAACAATAATATTTCTTCCTAATAAGGAAAAGAAACAATATATATATATTTATAGATGAAATTTGCGTGTGCGCAGAATCTCAATGTAACCAAAACAGCATACTAATAAATCACGAACGCAAAAGAACGGAAAAAATGAAGGCTGAAAATTCTTTGGCATGACATTATTAAAACAAGTCTCGCCTGACGACACTTTAATACGTAAATAATTTTGCACACATACACATACCTGTTGTTATGTGAACGGTTGCTAGAAAGAAATATGTAAAGTTTTCTTTCTTCTATGCTCGAAATCAAATTTTCTAAGATATTTATACAATATATCTATGTTTGCTTTGATACATATATCAAAAACTTTGATCTTCAATTCAATATGCTATAAAAAGTATTAAAAAAAAAACATTTTCTATGTAATAGACTGCGCCCCTACAAAGATATTGGCACTCATTTTCAACAATTAATCAATATTTGTCATCTATAGCTCTTTATAGTCCAAGGTTTATTTTGCGATGCAAAACATATTTAAATACACCCTCTATCAAATTTCAGTGACGTAAAAGAACCAATCTATTTGTAATATTGACATTGATGATATTTTTTTTTTGAAAGAGAAGAAAAAAAGATGAAGAGGAAGATCCAAACGAGAAAATAATGGTAAATCAATATTTTTATGTAACCTCAGAAAAAATAGTATGTCAGACGGAATAAAACGTTTTTTCTTCCTAATAGAAAATGCTAATAGAAATGAACATGAACAAGGTCGTGGGTACTGAATCAAAGAAAACAAATTCAATTTATTGTTCTGCCCAACAAAGTCAGTTAAAAATTAAGAATACAATATAAAAAACGATAACTATATTGTTATTGTCTGATGCGTAGGATGTAGGCAAATGGTGAAATATAAAAGAAAATAGAGCATATAAACGAAATAGCATCAACTCAGACATTCTGTCAAAATAAAAAAAGAATCCTTATTTGTTCTTCATCTTCGTCATTTTATTTTCTATACATTGCAACCAGTGCAAATAATTGTGTCAAAGTTTATGATGTTAAATACGCATAAGAAAAAATTCACTTACCATATCTGATTTATATTTCTGTATAGAAATAATTCATATTTTGACTAGAGACATCAGACTAGATTTGTATCTGAAAAACAAAAACACAGGAATATATGTAAGTAATCCCTTCTTCAAATGCTCGAAAACTATAGTTCGCGAATAAATTCAAGAGATAATAAGAATTCATTCTTTCATTGTTTAATCATATAGAACAGAGAGAAAAAAACAAGACAGAGCATAAACAAACGTTGTTTTTTCAACGAATATATACTATTTACAAACATGTCAATATGAATATTCAATCATCGAGCTTCTGGTTTATATTTTGGTGGTTTAAATAACGTCGGTGCCTTGCCTTTAACCGAATCTTTTGATTTGGCAACTGTTTGAAATGATTTCCAACTATTAACACGTGTTTCACGACTTTCCTAAAAGAAATAAAATCCATGTTTTCTTTTAACTATGTTAACGAAGGAAGTCCTCTAAGCGATTAATCACTTTGAAGTACGAACTAACTATGTGCATCATGTAAATTCTAATTAACCCTTTCAATCTCGCATGTCATCTACGAGATGACATGCAGAACGAAAAAGAAATATATTGCGTTCTTTCGTCTTCTTAGACGATGAATATCATATGATATGTTCAAATGAAAATCACTTCGTATGGATATGAATAATGAATCTAGAATTCGAAAACATGATTGTGATAGCTGAACGCACGAGAGAGAGATTAAATTATCTATTTTCATGTTCGTGCAGAACGCAAGAAAATGACGGGATTGAAAGGGTTAACTATAAATGCACTGAGGAGTTCAGACCTTTAGCTTATTACTACAGAGATTCTGTATTTTTACGATATTTGTTTTTTGGTTATTACTGTGTTTCCCCTCAGATATATTAGAAAAACTCATTTTTGAGTTTTTCTAATGTTGATGAAGGGAACCACGGTATTGACTTGAAAAGAAAAACTCGAAAAAATATAGAATTTCAACAATAATAAGTTAAGGACTAAAATTCTTTTCACTGTATTCATAAGCTTATCAAGATCTATATGATGTACTTAATTCGAACCCCAAAGGGATTTACCAATTGGAGATATTCTCTTTGATCTTTTTGCTTACTTCATAATTTTTATCCCATTCTTTTCGTAACTTCGTTCTTTCTTCACGGTCAGTTGTTTCATCTGCTTTTCGTTTTCGTTCTTCAGCTTTGTTTGCTTCTTCTCGAACACGTAACCGTTCAATATCAGCAAACAATTTGCATGTTACTGACCAAAGAGATTTTTTATACTAAAATATATTTTCATGAAAATATGAAAAAAAAAACAATACAAAATTATGATCAAGAAAAAATTTACTCCTTCAGTAGTATCTTCTTCAATTGGTTGATTTTTATATTTGAGTCGTTTTTCTTGAATCTAAATATATATATTTAGAAAAATTCAAATCAAACAAAATGTCACATATATATATACATATAAATAATTAATAAGAAAATTTTTAACTCACCAAATTGTCTGAATGATTGAACGAAAGAATTCGTCGTACAATGCACACTAGAAGGAGGGTAAAAAAGGACCCATCGCTCGAGCGATCTCAATTCTTAGTCTTCCCAATTTTATGAAAGAAAATTATGTCTTTTTTTTTTTCTTTTTCTTTTCAAATAATTAATAAAATACCAACGAAAAGAAGGGAAACGAAACGATTGCAAAATATAAACAAAACAGAACTTACCATTTTGTCCACACGTTCTCGAGCTTCTTCAACAACTTCAAGACATTTTTTACGTTCTTTTTCATCTTCAAGCATTTTATATGCTTTGTTAATTGCTAAAATAAAAAATTAAATTCTTTTTTTCTTATAAATGATTAAATAAAAATTTATTATTTAACATGAATCAATCAATATAGATATTCATAAAATTTACTTTATGACGCATTGTTTTTCTATTTATTTATCAGTTCAACATAAGTCTTTTGTTCGCATGACAGAACGAAAAAATATATAAAAATTTTATTTGAGAAAGAAAATTCAAGGTTTTAGTTATCATGTCAAATGGCATTTTCAATATGTTAACGTGATAAAAGACAAATAGAAACTACGTAGAAGTTATCTTAAATTATAGCCGACATTGGCAGGCATTTCTTCTGCGAAGAAAAATTTTAAAAATAATGAGTATCAGATAATACATTGAAATAAATATAAATGAAGTTTTTCAATCATTTATTATTCATATAGCATATTTACTTGTATATCAAAAGTTAAAGAATCTTAAGCTCTACAAAACTGTGTACTTCATTTTTATAAAAAACCTTTTTTATTTCTTTCGATACGATCAAAACACTCTGGTGTACACAGTTTATCTCGGCGGCAGAACTAAAAGAAAACGAACATGTTCTCGATGAAATGGTCTATCTTTTAAAAGTGTCAACGACAGTTACATGTAAAAGTTTCCAATATAATAAATGAAAAAAAAAAAAAGAAACTAACGTAGTCTGGTACAGAGCAAAATACTGTATTTTTTTCACTGCGCGAATGACGGCTTTGCAGCTGAACTTTAATTTAAAAAAATTTCATTGTTGAAAAAAATCCGGGCAAAGTCATCATGAAGGATATTTTCAACTCTCGAGAGTTATTTAAATATATAAAAATAGATCAGTTAAATACAGAACTAAACTCTAACTTTTGATATAAAATTCTTTGCTTACGAGATCTACCTCCTTGCATTACAATTGGAATATATAAGATATCTAAATGCTCGAATTGCCATAAAAGAAGCGAAGCATTCTTTTTTAAAGTAATGTTTGAAATTTTCCATCTTTTGGATTATGAATGAAAAATTTCTTTTTTTTAATCTAAATGAGGAAAATTGAAGATACATTGAGTCCGAGTCATTATAGCCCATCCGTTGTACTATGCCAGAAATTTAAAAAAACATGCTATTGATTTTGTTGCTTTTCAATAGAGAAGTTCTGTTTTAACAGAAGTTTGTTTTCATTCACTAGTAAATAATACATTAGTTTAGATCAGAGATCATCTTGAGATTTTTATAATAAACACTAGTACTCCATCAAATGAACATCAACTAAAATTTGAAGTATGAGAACAAAGACTTTTATGTCAAGTACTTGCAAACCTAGAAATCTCATAAAATGAAATATAAAAACTGAAAGAAAAGAGAAATTTTGAAATGTTTCTCTACATAGTAAACTTCAATAGAATTCTACACAATAACAATAAAATGTGAAAAATATCAAATGACATTTAAAATGTCCCTGCGCAAAAAAAACAAATGATGCAGAATTTTAATCTTATTTAAATAAGACATACATACCTTCAAAAGCAAGCGAAGCTCGATCAGTCATCGTTGGATTTTTATCTGGATGAACAAGCATTGATAACTGGAAAATAATCATTTTAATTTAATAATAAATATTAAAGGTGCTTTTATACTTACACGTCGATATTGTTTCGCAATATCTTCAAACGGTGTTGATGGATCGACTTGAAGTACCTAATAAGAAAACAATTCGAATAGAAAAAAAAAGAACAAATTAAGCGTTAATTCTATACTTCATATGGATTGAGATTAAAATATGTGGCACCGGGACGAAGAAGTCGATTAATTTGTTGTTCAGGTGTTAAAACAGAATCACGTTTTTCAATTGCTTTAACCTATATAAATAGAAAAGATTTAATTAATTAATAATTATTCAAATTATAAATTCATTACTTCCGAATGAAATTGTTCAAATATTTCATCTTCTTGTTTCTTTGTAACACTATATTCTTGTTTTATTGTTGTAGACTGTTCAGAACCTGATGAACTAGATAATAATGGCTCTTGTTTGATGGTTTCCTCAGTAGGCGAAGCCATCGATGATATCTTATTCTCTAGAGCAAAACTTCTAAAACGAAATTACAAAAAATATAATTAGAAATGATGAATGATATTGAAATAAACAATCGTGAATGAAATACAGTTGAACTAAGAGAAAAGAAAAAACAACATTCGTTTATTATAGTGAGCAGAAACCAATGATTATCATTTGATTACAACCAGTGTCATCTGTTTACTCTCAAAAAAACAACAATCGAGAATGTAAAAGAACAAGAAAATTACTAGGATGTCGTTGATAATCAAAAAAGATTCTATAATTTTTAGAAAGAATTTGGAACAGAGGATATGTAAAACAAAAGAGGACGCCAGATGTCAAAAGCTTGTCAAAGTCACGAGCGATCTATCTAATTACATTTCTTGAAACAATAAAATATTTTTTTTGTTTCTTTTTTGAAATATAAACCAATAAACAATTTTGTTACAAATAAAAAATTTTCATCTTTTGTGTTCGTTTTCAAAAATCTGTCAAATAACTATGAAATACGAGATAGAGAACATGCTTTTTTTCTTCTGACACAGCAATTCCAACAAGGACCTTGCAATATATATTTGAATATGTGTTGATTACTTTGCCGACTAACTTTATTCATTTGCGTTACTAATGAACCGAAGTTTCTCTGTTCATGTATATCTTTGATAAGTTTCATATTTATTTTGGAGTCAACAAAAGTTATATAGAGATTTTATTTTTTACAAACTCAATAGACTTTTTTAAACACCGGAGATTAAGAATTATTAACCTTTCACTATTGTTCTGCGATCCAAGTGGATCCATTCGAGAGGTTTCGTGCAGTACTATAATAACATTTGGAGCTTTGCTTCATTGTTCTTCTCTAATCCGTAGCTTTCTGTTGATGCATATTATCCCTGTCATAATGCATGACAAGATCTAAGATGGAGGAAAATATGAAAATATGAGCCCGTATAAGTCCCACAACAGCTACGATCTTGCAGGCATAACTTTGCATTCTGCTAAAGTTGCCGTTTATCTTCCTCCAATTGTTTGTATGTCTATCGTTATTAGTGATGATTCGCATTTTCTTTCTACAGGATGAAATTTGTAATTATGTTTTGATTAGAATCATGCATTCATCGTAGTTTTCAATTATAAATTCCAATTGTTTACATTTTTTACACAAGCACGCAGGAGCTGAAGACCAAGAAGCCATATTTTTATAGCTTTTAATCATGAAAAAAATGCCAGAGACAAAAATAATGCTAAATGAAGCGGGAAATTTTTCACTATTTTATTCACAAAATAATTATATGTGCTAATATGCAAATATATTTATACGATTCTAAACCAAAGTGACTGAATTTATGATTTTTGTGAGTTACATATCAATGTTATTAAGAGCGCAGCTCCAGACAATCTTTATTTTTTTGATATTGTATACTTTCATGTTGGCATCATGGAAAATCATATGTTAATTGCTATGAAGCGAGTACCTAGATATCTATATTATATGAATGAATAATTTGAATGAAGAATAGACATTGATTATTTTTGTAATTTTCTATAAGTGGCTCCGAGTGGACTCCAACATAGTCATAAAGTTCCAAAATGAGAGCAGCATCGAAAGATTAATTATTGTGAAATATCAACAATATGGTCATAAAACAAAATTTTTTTCAAGTAATTGCCCATAGGGTCATAAATTTCAAACAATATTATTGATTGATTGAGTTAAATCGATATGATTTGCATGAGACTTTTGGACATAAATCAAATGTTTTTAGAACAATTGTCGTGGAAATGTCCTTGTATGTATGCATTGGATCAAAATGCGAACCTATGAATCGCTTTGACCAGTCGATATTACTTCCACTTGCCACAAATGATTATTCTTGTTGTCAATATGTTTGATTTTATCGATACGAAACATAGAGTAGATCGTAAAAATGAACTCTTCATCTGTTTAACAGTAACCCATTTGACAAGTATTGACTAAAGATATCGATGAGATTGAGAAATCAATGACATTGACAAATCGATTACCGATCAAAATGGATTCGTTAGAATTGGGATGATTTTTATTGATATATAAAAAGAATATTAAAGAACAATAGGCTGCAATTTGCCTTTATCATGTAATTAAATTTTATTGACAATAAATCAATTCAGGCAGCGGTGATCAATGTATTATTTGATGTGAAGTTGAACAATCTTTTGATGGCGATCTCGTACAAAAATATCCATTTTAAATAGAATACCGACTTCAATCATGTTTGAATCTCAATTGAATGTTGAATAAAGAATATATGCGTATTTATACTATCAGAAACAGGTGCATATTATTAGTATTCGCATGTTAGTTTATTGATGCATTGTAATTAGACAATACACTATCAACAAATTGTTCATGAAAATAAGCAAGAAAATTTATAGTATGCTGTAGATCACAATCGATTGTTGATAATAGATCTTTTAAAGCTTGAGTATATGAAAAAGATTGATCTCACAACTCCAAGTTTTAATTTGATGATTCACCCCTCGGCGAAGCATTCGGAAACTGTTATAATCGTTCATTCGCACGATCACAAATAATTTTACTATGGAAGCGAATGCTATTTCGAGCACGTTTTCAGAAGAACTAGATATTTGTGTGTTCCTCTTCCTGCCGGTTAAACTTCCGGTTATTATTCTCTTTAATTTGTCCTTGACAATATGAAATACACAAAGTAATCTTCGTTGAATTTGTCATCAATTTGAGAAATTATCTTGATAAAAGTTATGTCTTTTTTTTTGGTTTTAAAATACTAGCAGACTACGCTTATTTTTATTTAATTGTGTTATTGTACATAATCAAAGAGCGATAATAAAGAAAACATCAGTGAAAATTTGGTTTTTACTGTGAAGAATGTTTGTTTTTGTGCAGTCCTGTTTTTTCTTTTCATTTTGCATTGCCACGCAACTTTTTTCGATATTTTTTTGTGCAACAAAAAAATGCAAGAATACAACTACATCTTATTTTCGCAAGCTTGCTTTTTCGTTCTAATCTTTTATCTTATTTTCTATTAATAGTATATGGTTTTACATCATATAAAGATTCATTTATGATTATTTTTGTTCGATCGTTTGATTATCATATGTAAAGAAAAGAAGCTATATGCAATTTTCGATTTTTATTGAATGTATACGTCATTTATCAAATGAATCTTCTGAAAGAAACCTAACGATAAATAAACAAACGAAAAATAAAATTAATAAGATAGACATTAATTTAATTGTATTGAAACTAAAGCTTAAAACCAAAAAAGAAATTTCGAAATATTGAGAATACATGTAAAATTATGGTTATTACAAAATGTTGAAGTACTGTTATTCACATACATCATTATTTATCGATTCAATTGCACAAAAATATACGGACTTGTTTGAATCGTTTATCATGTACATTTATCCATAGTTAGAAGTTTTGATCTGTCAAAAAGTTATGTGAGGGATTGAAAACTGGAGCAATCATTCTAAATAACTTTTGTCGTTCGAGTGTGATTGTGTTGAGATATAGATTTTTTCTAAAACTCAGTCTGATAATTGAAAAGAGGACGCCAGAAGGTGGCATCAGAAAAGTTTCGAATTAAACAAGGATCAAATAATAAAATCGCTTGCTTTTCGTTTTTTTCAACAATATATAGTTAAATTTTTTAAAGTAAATTATGATTATAAAACGTGTCGAACGTTGCTTAGTAATCTAATAAATCAAAAAATAAAAATGTCAATTGCTTACACTTTTCATAGGCAATGTTTTTATCTACAGAAAAACATTATTTTATTCGTCTTAGATAGATTTTAATCATGGTGATCAAAACGTTACCTATACCTACAACGAAATCTAATGGTAATAATCAACTTGGATCAAAAAAACAAGCATTACTTAGTCAATCTCGTTCGTAAACTTGTGCATCATTTCTGATTTAAATAAAACTTCTTATAATAGTTTCATGTCTACCAGATGATCGAACAGAACAACGACATTTACCTGATGCTGCTGATCTTCGTCGAATGTGCATAATAACAAAAAGTGATTTAAATCGAATTTATGATAATTTAGATCGTCGTCAACGTGATAAAGATGCAGTCCGACAAGAACTTGAAAGAAAAAAAGAAATGGCTGAGCGTTCAGCACAAATAACAAAACAATGGCCAAATACAATTATTGTAAAAAGAAAATACAAATTGATAAATTAAAATTTTAATTTTAATTAAGTTGTTTTTTTTTTTTGATGAAAGGGTGCTCGAGAACGTAAACTTGAATTGAAAAAAATTCGTGATCAAGAAGAAGAAGAAAGAAAAAAAGTTTTAGATCTTGAAGAAGAAAAAATAGCTGCTGAACGTCGTCGTGAACACATTGAAAAAGCTAAACAATTACAATATTATGAAACAGATCGTGTTCGGACATTTCATGTAAAGCAGCTTTTTTTTTTGTATTATTTTTATTCTTCTAAATTTTCCTTTTTTCATTGTTTTTTTTTTTATTCAGAGCGCATTATTACTTACTGAAGTTCTTAAAGAACGTGATTTACAAATTGACATGAAAAAGCGTATTGAACAAATGCGTCAATCAGATGAAAATGAAGAACGTCAACGTTATCAAGAAGCTCAAAATGAATTTTATAAAGCTGAACAAGAAAAAATTGAGCAAAAAGCAAAGTAAATTTTATTTTTCTTTAAATTAAAAGAAATAAAACTTGCTTAATTTCCTTTTGTCTTATAGAGATCGAGCAAATTTGGCTAAATATCATCGTGCACAGTTAGTAAATCATTAAAAAAAATTGCCATTATTTTATGATAGAAGTTGTTTTTTGTTTTCAATTCTTTTTCTAAAGAATGGATCAACGTAAAACTCACCATGTTCAAGAAAAAGAAAAAGATCTACAAGAAGGTGATGAATATCGACGTTTAGCTGAACAATATTCACTTGAGCAATTAGAATTAGAACGTTTTAAGAAACTAACACAAAAGGATACTAAAAATATGTATGATAAAGTACTCGATGATAAACAAAAAGTTAAACAAATTGAACAACAAATGGATGAAGTAAGTTGATTAGGAACAATTTTCTGGTTTCACAAAAAAAAAGAATGTTTTTTGCTTTTAGGAAGAAGATGAAGAACTTCGTATTTATGCTGAAGCAAAGAAAAAAATTGCTCGTTTAAGACGTGAAAAAGAAATTCAAGCTCATCAGTAAACAATTGAAAATGATTTATTTTGATAAAATAATGTTTTGAATTTTTTTGTTTAACATAGAGAAAAACAAGAAGTACGTGATCACATGATTGGCTATTTAGGTACATTACAAAAACGAGCTGAAGCTGATAATGATACACAAATATTCCGTGCTCGAGCACTGAAAGAAGCCAAAGATTTGCGTGAAGAGCAAGAAAAATTAGAAAAACAACAAAAAATGCGAGAATCCATTACTAAACATCGATTTGAAACTGTATGAAGATTTTTCCTTTGTTAAATAAAGAATCTAGGTTTGTTTGTTTTGAATAGATGAAACGACGTGAAGCTGAACGTGAAATGGAAGAACGTGAAGATGCTGAAATGCGTAGAAAAAAAGCTGAATCTGATCGATTATTTCTTTTATATCAACAAGAAAAAGAAAAACAACGTGCTCAAGATGCTCAAGCTATTTCAGAATCTCATTTACAACAAGCTGTAAGCTAGATTATTTGACAGAAAAATTAATGCTTTCTTTTCATATAAGATACAATTGAATGGGGATGGAATTTGCTTCTTCAGAATAGTTTAGGATTGATCTTTTCGATACCAAAAAGAAAAAAAAAAAGAGTAGCTATAAGATATAAATCTACAACAAGTTACTTTTTGATTCATTTTAACCGCTTTACGATAAAGTTTAATGAAAGTTTATTATTATAAACAATCATTTTTTCTGTTCATAATATACAATCATAACGATTACTTTTAGGAAAAACATTTTCTATTTGAATAGTAATCAATTTTAAATATTGCTGTTATTTGAATTTATCACAGTTATGTTAGACTCAAATTCATGTCTCATGAGCTTATTATTTTCTATACATCTCGTGAGTAAAAAGTCTTGATTGAAACGTTTCTGTGTGTGTGCGAAATGCGCTTCTAAATTTAGTTACTACCCATGTAAAAATAAATCAAGAAAAAACGGGATTTCAATCGATTTTTTGTGATTAAAAATCGATTAAAATGAGACGATTTTCATCAAATTTTAATCAGATTCCTTGAATTTTAATCAGTTTTAATCGCGTTAACGAAAAACTGCGTTTTTCTCGACCTTTAGCCCAGAAATCATAGCTTTTTATCGCTTTATCTGACTCCTCGCGTCGACAAATGGTAGACACAGCATCAAACCAACCTCGGACAGACATCGCTGAATTCGTGAGATAATAACGATCTGTACTTACGCATTCTTTGGTTATCGTGATTAAAAAGGATTAAAAATTAAATAATCAATTAAAATTCATTAAAACAAGAATAATCAATTATAATCGATTAAAACTGATTAAAATCAGAAATAATCGAATAAAAGGCAAGAAGTGTGATTAAAATCGATTAAAATTCAAGGAATCTGATGAAAATCTGATGAAAATCGTCTCATTTTAATCGATTTTTAATCACAAAAAAATCGATTAAAATCCCGTTTTTTTCTTGATTTATTTTTACATGGATAACACAAGAAAGAGATAAGAAGTTTTACATAAATTATGTTATTAGTGAAACAAGAGTATTCGAATGCTGGTGATCAGCGATTTATATAAGATTGTAATAGAACAGGCAGCGATATACAATAAAAAAGAAATCTCAATACAATAAAAGAATAGATGAACAACTTTTGACTCGAATAGATTATATACAGGGTTCCCGATTAGGGTTGGATGGGGAAATTTCCTCTCCCCTATCCAAGATGTCAGACTTTCTGCAGCAACTGAATTTTGAAACAGTATTAGTCATTCTCTGAAAGATAGTGAAATAAAAATAGGCAAGTCATGTCCTTGCAAGTAAATAGGATTGGAAAGAATCACCCGGGTAGTAGATCGTCTGTTGTGGATGGACCTATATCGTATTGAGTTTTGTTCTTCCTTATATAATGATCATTTAACAACCTTCGTTCGAACAATTGACGAAATCATATTTCAAAAATCAATTTTAATGTTTATGTCTTTTTTAAAAATTATGTAGCAAGAACGTAAAGATCGTCACCATGACTTGAAAGTAAGTGAAATGAATGAAATACAACTCGACAGACACATGAATGAAGTCGAAAAACAACAATATCAAGACTACACAGGACGTGTTATATCATATATGGACGAAAATGGTCGTAATACTTATCCAATGAAACGAGTATGTCTTAGACATTAACATTATTTTTAATTAGTTAAAATTTAATTCAGGTTGTTGCTGATGAAATTAAACGTTTTGATCAATTAAACTATGCTTATAAAAAAGCTGATACGCCGCCAAATGGAAATGATGAGAAAAAACCTGGTAGTCAAGATAAAAAGACACTGGATGAAACAAAGAAACATTTGGGTTTTCAATGGGATATTCCAAATAAATGATAAACATAAGCTTCCTTTTTTTTTTTTGTATCCTTTATTTTTTTTATCAGTTTTATGCACACAATATATACAAAAAAAAACAATAAATGATTGATCGATAAGATTACTTGATTGCAACCAAATCATTATATGAGTCACGAGCTAGATCTAATAACTGATCATTAGGTAATGGTGCTGCTTCTTCAGTAATACTAAAAGTAGGACAATATTCAAGGATTTTAGCTACGATTGCACCAGCAAATGTGTAAGCAAAATTAAATCGAGCTGGACAAGATATTGAAAATGGTAAATAACTTTTTTCCTGTTCAGCAGTTAATTTTTCCTTAAAACGATAAGGATTAAAATCAAGTACATCAGAACCCCATACATTTTTATCACGATGAATTAGTAGAACATTAATGCATACATGTTGACCAGTTTTTAAATTTGTTCGATAGATATTTTTAGTCGGTGGATATAATCGTAATGTTTCTTTTAAAATCCATGTAAGCAAAAGACAATCTCGATAGGATTTTGAATAATTATTTAATTGTAAACGTAGTTCGCAAAGTAATTTCGGTTGACGAAGGAGTTCAAGTAATGAATAAAATACCAGTCGCCACATTGTTTCCCATCCAGGAATAATAATATTCAATGGATTAGAAATTTTTTCATCAAAATCATTTATTACTATTTTTGAAATGATATTTGAATGATTGGATAATATAGTTTGAATTTGTTGCCAAATATCCGATTGGGAAAATTTATTTTTATTAGCTAAAAGTAATTTTTGTAAACGATCTTGAGCTTTTTTATCATAACGATTTTTCCAAAGATAAATAATTAATTCAGGTAATTCTGTAAGAAGTTCTTCGGTAGCATTAACATTGAGAATACTCGAAAGAAATGAATCCAATGTTACTTGTTTGACTAATTTTGATAAATAAAATTTTGAATTATTTAATTGTAATAATGAAAGTCGATATTTAATTCGATTTTCAATTGTTGAAACAAGGTTTTCATAATTTTTCTCATTACTCCAATGTGCTAATGTTGTTATAACTTTATTTTTAAATGCTTTAAGAAGAGATTCATCATTAATAGTGAATGGATTTACAATAGACAAAGTATCTATAAGCCATTCGTTAGATTTATGTCGCGTGTAATCACTTGATTTTAGTATATTATGTGCCGCATCACCAGTCAATATAATATTCGATCGTTTATTTTTGTTCCAAGCAAAATAAGTGATATACCTTAGAATGATAATGACCACAATAATAATGATTATGAATGTTGCTGCCATTTAATAGTCACAATAAGTCAAAAAACTCAGTGATATAATTACTGTAAATATCGAATTGTATGTGTCTCAATATTAATAAAATAGACTATGAATGTATTTAGTTTCGAAACTAACTGATCTGTGCACATTTTATCTTATAACGATGGGTTTTTCCCCAGTGTCGTTGTTGTCTAGGTAACAAAAATTGAATCATAGATTATCATGGTGTTTGATTCATTTTTATCGTTTAAATAAAAAAAAACCCACGAAACTGATTCACTTGGGAAAAAATAAAATTATTAAAATGCTTTTTATTAATTTAACAATTTTAATAATGTTTAACAACGACAATTGTTATACAAGGATACAAATAATTAAAGAACATTATTGATGCTTGTGGTTTTACTCAATAACTAACTTAAATAATTCAATGTTTTATGAGACAAATTTTACAAGAAACCTGAAGATCATGATAGTAAATAAATCTTATGAGTCATAGCCCATGTCAAGTTATCAAAGTTATATGACAATAAAAAAAAAAAAAAAAAAACTCATTGTAGATAGATATTCTAATGATTTGAGGAATAATTTCTTTTTGAAATCAATGAATTATTTTATGAAAGTAACTTGAAAATAGATACAAAAATCTCTGCCGTGATTGAACTTTTTACAGAAGTCTTCTGTCAATTTTATTTGTAAATCAAAAATAGGGAAAAGGCTAATAAATCAAAATCTTTCTTGTTTGTTTTCACTATGTCATTTAAAGCAACCCGCTTACACACCAAAGCCGATCTGGTTCTTTGGATTGTTCTTGAGAAAAAAAAAAAAGTTCGAACACAATTAGTGTCATGTTTTTCATTATAAGTGCATTCATTTTCTTTTTATGGATCTTTTCAACACTAAGTTCTTTATGTTCTTTTATTAAGCAAATTAAATTGAAGAAAATGAATATATTTAATATTCAATCGAACTTGACGAGAATTACGAACAGTATTTACTATATAATCATCAATACAGACAGAAAAAAAAAACTTTAAAGCTGTACATCACTAATCTTTATCAATTATTAATTAGTTTAAAATAATAGTGTCTGCCTTGAGGAAACACAAAATAGTTACTACAACTAATTATTCAATAAGTATTATATGTTTTATAATGGCTTTGCATTCTGATAATTACTTCACTTGGATGGCTATTGCTACAAAGAGTGCCATTGGCATAGTAATGAAAATCCCATCAATTAATAAAAAATAAATAAATTATGAGAATCTGGTAACTATAAATAAAGCAACTTCACACTTGAGAAAACAATACAAGATTTTTATGATAACATTATCTCAAAATAGTTTTTGAATTTTCTTAAAATTTCAAATTATTTTCGTCAACAATAATACATTGGCATCAGATAAAAGAAATTTAAAATCATATATGAATCAATTGTTATTAAGATTGACAACTATCGAATCACTTTTTTAAAAATACCAATGTAATCTATTTTAAAATAAATGTATATGACTAAAAATAGTCAAAGAACAACATGCTATGTATCTCATTGAGAAGTATCATGTGACAGTTTTATGCAGCTATTATATATAAACAATAATGAACTATCGCACACAAATAAAAAATACTATTCATTTGTTTATGATTATTATAACAGCAAAACTTTCAATAGCTGCATTGAGCTAGTTACAATCGTGTACATGATGGAATTCGATTCTTTTAAAAGATTTCTAGAAAATATTGAATTTCTCTTTGAAAAGATTTTATTTGAAAATCTACATTGAGTACGTATCATGTAACAAGAATTTGGGCGCCAATTAGAGATGATAATCAACATAATCAAAACTTTTTATTATTTTACCTCAAAATAATTTTTAAATAATTCATTTACTCAGTAGTTTCAGTGAATAATGTTACGACACGATCCCAGAATGTGATCGTGTCAGTATCAATGATTATAAAAGATACATGTTCGTTTGATCAATCAGTAAAATCTGGTACGTTCTAATAACTTCTGCTTCATCCTAAAGAAAAATGCCGAGTTAAAAAATAAAATAAAAGAAGTCAATAAAATACGAACTTATTGACACATGGAACCGGAAAAAAAATTCATCATCAACATTTTTTGTTATTACATAATGGTCTTCCAGTGAACAATATACATGACCAATAGGAAGATTTCCATGTATTTAACATGTACTTGAATACTTTGTTGATCAGCTGATATAAAATCATCTAATTTCATAGCAATATTATTATCTGACACAAATCTGCTACATTGACTGTTTTTCACTATACAACAATATTTGTAAAACAACAGTTTTCTCTCGATTTTCGAAACAGTTGACTTCAGACTAAAATTCATTTAATATTTAATATTTCGTATTTCAAAACTTCGGTCAATAGTTTTTCAAATTCGATTTGAACTTCGTTACCAATGAGACCATCTCCCATTATTCTTAACAAAAAAAAAGTGAATCATTATTTAATATCAAATTTCAAACAAATTTTACTCAACTAAATTTAAGACATTATCATACCATTATCAGGCCTCGCAGCGTGTTTACTTTCCTGATTTATTCCTGATTTTTTAAGACTGTCCTGATTTTCCTGTTTTTGACCAAAAATCCTGATATTGTCCTGNAAGGCATTACGAGATATTTTATCTACTCTTGATCGATTTTGACATCGTCTGTACACAATCTAAACTTCAATTAGCCCAGTCACACTTGATCTGGCGACACTAGAATCGATATGTAGTGTCCTGATTTTTACCAAAATTCCTGATTTTTTTAACCGAAGTGTCCTGCCTATTTTCCTGATTTTGAGGCATAGGCCGCTGCGACCCCTGCATTATTTATAGATCATATTTTTCTTTTTCATAAAAATCTCCAATATTTATTATTGAAATAGTTCATTCTTTTGGTAGCATATTGATTATCATATAAGGATCAATACTTTCTTCCACCAATGATTTACATTATCTCTTTGTAACATCGGTTTTTTCTTTTAAATACTATAAAAAAAATGATCCACTTGCACGAAGAACTCATTGTTGCAAGACAAAATCGATTACAAAGACAACAATGGTAATATAAATGAGGTTTATCACTTTTCCTTGTATGTGACAACTATTATTAACAACAAAGACAATATACTTTGAGTATTTAAGCCTTCTGCCAACAAGACATATCTTTTGTTACCATTAAGACTTGTTTCTCTTCAGAAAAATTTTAATAATAGTTTCAATCTACAAAAATTCATTTTCCATGATTAATATTCTCCATTAGTTTTGTGTAATATTTGTCTTTTATAGTCGATTTCAATTTAAACTTACATGAAATAAATATAATTTGATATTCTATGACAAAAAACTTTTAACATTCACATAGGAAACTCGGATACTTGCAACTAAAAGGATTATGATTGTTCTTCTTGAATAATAGTTATGCGTTGTAGTGAAGTGCCTCGAAAGCGAACTGTAAAAACACGAAACAGGAGAGCTACTAGATCACTATCCATAGACAAGCAAAAGCATACTTCAGAACTCTATAAAGTCACAATAGACATCACACAATTGACGATATATTTTTAAGACATGCACGTTAACTCGTTAACTATACCATTTCTACACGATTTTAGTACTACAGAAGTAAACAATGATTTTGTTGTCCTCATATGGCTAATGATGAATATCCAAGTCAAAATAAAATATCAGCTCGTCCTTTTATTCGCTACAAATGTTTATTATTCTCAATAAAATAAAAACAGCTGCACTAAAATTCTGCGACTTACAAACCTCATAGTAAGATAATGAATGAATATGTGCAAGATATTAAGGCTAAATAATTAACATTCCCCAAGTCAAGTATATATTATACTTCGCTGAAAGAATAAACAGTTTCGTTACATTCGTTGTTGTGAAAGTGCAACATCTTGAATACTGTTATTAGAATACCACTCGATTGTAAGTACCAATAAATGTTTTATCTGATAAGACAAGTTAGCATAACTAATAGGTGGCCGTCGGTTGATCATCGTGACTAGTGTTTCGTTTTCTTCACTTGAATTTGTATAATAGAACGGTAAATGTTACTATTATATGGCTTTATAGGCAAGCAAAATCGACGTACATAAGTATAATATCATTTTCACATTTTCAACATTCGATTTGTTGTACATAACTTCAAGTGTAAATACCCAGAATGCACTGAATAGAAATACGATTTTTCGTATATTAATAGTAAAATATCTCTTTCCATGATTTCATGCTCCACTGTTCAAAATGACTACGCTTCCACTTTTCCACTGAAAAGTTAAATAGTGATTTTAATGAAATACAACCCTTTCCCTTATTCAAGAGTACCTCCACAACACAGAAAACGTAAATCCTTATGAAAGCCGAAATGAAGAGAAGAACATTAATCAAGTTCAAGAATTATAGGGAAAAAACTAACTCGTGAAGTGAATATTTTTCAAAATTACAAGAAAATTGTGCATGAATAAACAATACTCTGAAACAGTATCCTCTGGTAGTTGATATTTCATCTGTTAAAGAAACATATCTTCTAGCATTACGTCAACACGACAGAATTGAGCTGGACTTTTCTCCTCTCTTTTCATTGTTAGACTCTGTAGTGATAGCGAGCGTTAATCTGTTGAGTTTTTGTCGGACAATGCCAAGAGCAACTTCACATTTGTCGTTAGCGACACTGTACAAACTTGAACCTATTTTTTGTATGACTTTGATTATCAATTATTTATTCAAATTTTAAATCACAAAATACTCGTTCATTTGTGACCACTGACTCTCTCTAATTTATATTGTCGAAGTAATTTAATTCATGCATTTGATCTATTATTTACTGTTTTTTTATGAAGTTTATTTAGTTTTTAACTCTTATGTTGCAATAGTTCTGTCATACGTATATATCGTCGAAATGTCTAAGTTAAAGTATTGCACTCGTACGTATTCGATATGGATTTCTGTACTAGAAAAGATCGCTTGAAATCATGCA